GACCCCCCTAAAACTGCTGCTCTGGTCCCCACGGCGGTGGCTTCGCCGCTGGGTCATGTGTGGCCGAGTCAGGGCCCCGTGCTCGGGGCGATGAGTCGGGGGGTGACTCAGCCCCCCCCTTTCTCAGGAGCTGGGAAGGGTGAGCTCATGTGTGGGGTGGGGGTGTCCCTCTCCCTGGGGCCCCTTGGGTGACAGGAGGTGAGTTGAGGGGTGTCTCCAACCTTCATCCCCACCTTGGTGCTTCCTCCGTCCCCACCTTGGTGCTTCCTCCATCCCCTCGGTGCTTCCTCTGTCCCCTTGGTTGGTCCCTTGGTTGGTCCCTGGGTTGGTCCCTCCTTGCACCCATGGCCGGGTGACGATGATGTCCCCAGGGTGGCCCTGTCTGGGACAGGGCCCTGATGCCACCGGGACCTTCCAGGCAATGAACAAGGTTTTCTGAGTTGTCCCAGCAGGAGCCTCGTGACGAGGTGCCACTCACCCCAGAAAGCACCGTCTGGCCCCGCTTCCCCTGGGGTGGGGACAAGGCTGGTGTCCCCCCCCCCATCACCCCAGTCCTACCAGTGACCCCAGAACTGGGAATGGGGTGGTCAAATCCTACCCGGGCAGGGGGGACAGTCCTGGGTTGGGGACGTTAGGGACAGAGATGAGGTCTTGTCTTCTGCTCCGGGTGCTGGGGAGGGTCTGACCCTGCCCTGTGGTCCCTCTGCCCAACCCATGGGTGCTCAGTCCTCCCTGGGGGGCTGGGGAACAGGGGGGGCCTCTACAGCAGGAGGGTGACCCTGGGGCAGGACTCTGGGACAAGGAGGTGTCCCCTGGGGGCATCCCTGGGGCAGGAGGGGGTCCTGAGGTGGGATTCTGGGCCAGGAGAACATCTTTAGGGCTGGAAGGTGTCCCTGGGGTGAGCTGGGGCAAGAGGATGGCCCCAGGGTGGGACGGGGTGGGCTACTGGGGCAAGAGGATGGCCCCAGGGTGGGATGCTGGGACAGGAGGATGTCCCCAACATGGGACGTTGGGGCAGGAGGACATCCCTGGAGCAGGAGGACTTCCCCATGGCTGGAAAGTGTCCCCAGGGTGGGATGCTGGGACAGGAGGATGTCTGCAAGATGGGATGCTGGAGCAGGAGGACATCCCTGGGGCAGGAAGATGTCCTAAAGGTGGGATTCTGGAGCAGGAGGACATCCCTGGGGCAGGAGGATGTCCCCATGGCTGAGAGGTATCCCCAAGGTGGGATGCTGCAACAGAAGGACATCTTTAGGCCTGGAAGGTGTCCCTAGAGGGGGATGCTGGGGCAGGAGGACATCCTTGGGGCAGGAAGATGTCCTCAAGGTAGGATTCTGGAGCAGGAGGACATCCCTGGGGCAGGAGGATGTCCCCGGGGGGGGATGCTGGGGCAGGAGGAGATCCTTGGGGCAGGAAGAGGTCCTCAAGGTAGGATTCTGGAGCAGGAGGACATCCCTGGGGCAGGAGGATGTCCCCGGGGGGGGATGCTGGGGCAGGAGGAGATCCTTGGGGCAGGAAGAGGTCCTCAAGGTAGGATTCTGGAGCAGGAGGACATCCCTGGGGCAGGAGGATGTCCCCGGGGGGGGATGCTGGGGCAGGAGGAGATCCTTGGGGCAGGAAGAGGTCCTCAAGGTAGGATTCTGGAGCAGGAGGACATCCCTGGGGCAGGAGGATGTCCCCGGGGGGGGATGCTGGGGCAGGAGGAGATCCTTGGGGCAGGAAGAGGTCCTCAAGGTAGGATTCTGGAGCAGGAGGACATCCCTGGGGCAGGAGGATGTCCCCGGGGGGGGATGCTGGGGCAGGAGGAGATCCTTGGGGCAGGAAGAGGTCCTCAAGGTAGGATTCTGGAGCAGGAGGACATCCCTGGGGCAGGAGGATGTCCCTGGGGGGTGATGCTGGGGCAGGAGGATATCTCTAGGGCAGGAAGATGTCCTCAAGGTGGGCTGCAGGGGCAGGAGAACATCTTTAGGGCAGGAGAGTGTCCTGAAGATGGGATTCTGGAGCAGGAGGACATCTCTGGGGCAGGAAGATGCCCTCAACGTGGGATCCTGGGGTGGGAGGACACCTTTAGGGCTGGAAGGTGTCCCCAGGGGGGGATGCTGGGGCAGGAGCATATCTCTGAGGCAGGAAGATGTCCTCAAGGTGGGATTTGGAGCAGGACATCCCTGGGGCAGGAGGACACCTTTAGGGCTGGAAGGTGTCCCCAGGGGGGGATGCTGGGGCAGGAGGAACATCCTTGGGGCAGGAAGATGTTCTCAAGGTAGGATCCTGGGGCAGGAGGACACCTTTAGGGCTGGAAGGTGACCCCGGGAGGGGATCCTGGGGCAGGAGGATGACCCCAGGGTGGGATCCCTCAACGTGGGATCCTGGGGTGGGAGGACACCTTTAGGGCTGGAAGGTGTCCCCAGGGGGGGATGCTGGGGCAGGAGCATATCTCTGAGGCAGGAAGATGTCCTCAAGGTGGGATTCGGAGCAGGACATCCCTGGGGCAGGAGGACACCTTTAGGGCTGGAGGGTGTCCCTGGGGGGGGGATGCTGGGGCAAGAGGATGGCCCCAGGGTGGGATGCTGGGGCAGGAGGAACATCCTTGGGGCAGGAAGATGTTCTCAAGGTAGGATCCTGGGGCAGGAGGACACCTTTAGGGCTGGAAGGTGACCCCGGGAGGGGATCCTGGGGCAGGAGGATGACCCCAGGGTGGGATGTTGGGGCAGGAGGAACATCCTTGGGGCAGGAGGGTGTCCCGGGGGGGTGATGCTGGGGCAGGAGGACATCCCTGGGGCAGAAGGAAGTTCCATGGCTGGAAGGTGTCCCCAAGGTGGGATGCTGGGGCAG